TTCTACCGTCTCTATTACCGATTTGCTTTGCTGTTTGTTGTATATGTTAAATTGCTCCATGTACAGCACTTTGTATGCAGCGATGGCTGTTTGAAAGTGCTCTATAAATACAGTTGAGTTGAGTTGAGTTATTCGATGGGCAAAGTGTTTATAAAATAATGAAGGCTAAGTGGATTAGAAAAGGGCTGGATAGATGGATGAAGACAAAGTTCTGTTTGTCTTTTTTTTTCCCCCAATGCGAATCGGGATCTGATCCATGATTTACACCCAGGATCCAATCCGAACCATGAGTTTTTGGATCCGTTTGTACCAGTAATGAGAATGATCAAAATAAATACATTAACTTACATGTATTGTTTTTTTTTTTGGTCAAAACAAGATGCAAGCGACACATACACAAAAATGTAACATAGTTCGACAAATGTCTCTACGTCATGCAAAAGACAAAAGTGATGTTCCACAATTGTTTGAAGTCGCGGCACAGCCGGCACTAAACCATTTTGTCATTGATTACAAAGTAGTAATTGATTAATTTGTACTTAATCTGCATTGTTATGCATAACAATGTAATTTGATAAAATTATGCCAGCTCATATATAACTATTCCAACTATGCAATATTTTAAAAATAATGGCGAGCCATACATTTGCAAAAAGTACAAATAAAAAAATGACCTGAACTCGAGAAAACAACAACACGGCCTAAATCAGGAGTTGGAGTAGTGACATGAAAGAAACAAGACTTTGAGGGAGTGTTTTTGGTCAAGGTGAACCATTGAGATCATTGCGTGATGATCATGGAATTAAGCAAATCTGGATTGGCAAGACTTTTACTCTCATGCTGAACCCAAAAGTGACGCAACATACAGTGAGAGCAGGATGTTGAAGGAGGCTCTGATACCAACCTTGGCCACTTTGTGATTGGCTGCTGTCTCATGTGAGGTATTCTTCAAGCCTTCTTTTAGCTGTACGATAAAGAGTTCATAGCCCTTTGTGGTCGAAATGTCAATCTTTTCCTGGCAGGCTGACAGCAGATGTTGGGCCTGAGCAGACAAACACATTTATTGGTCAAAACAGCGCAGATTCCATTTCTTACCGTGGCCACAATGTTCTCTTGTTACCTGAGCTTATTTAACATAGCAAATAGCAAGGCACCTGGTATTTCAACTGCTTCAACTGCTGTTCTACAATGCAGTGTAGCTCCACGATGCTGCTAGTAGTGGCGACAGTGCGATCGGACAGTGTATTGTCTTGAAAATCACTTGTATTCGTCCGATATCAGCAAAATTAGATCAATACTGAAAGACACCTCAAATACAATAACGGTGAAGTTCCAGTGAGCTATTTATTAATATGGCTTTAGTTTTCCCAGAGACGTTTATTTGAACTAAGGCTTCAGGCGACGCCAAATTTCACGATCTGTCAAATATAGATATTTTTAATTGTAGGTTGTACACATACAACAAGCTGAAATCTCGTAGACCCTAAATAACATTTTTATTATAAATACTGAACTTGGGGGAATAATTTTCACGAGCACACGCACAGCTCACTGGGTCGCATTGACTTGAATAACAGCTGCAGCCGAAGCTCCCTTGGCGGTCGCCCCGCCTGTCGATCGTGACAGCGTCTCAAGGGTGGCCTGCTGTGCCAGATGCCAGAGAGTGACGACACCCAAGTCATTTCCTTTTTGACTTTTCTTTTACCTTTGCTGCCGGATACTACAATCGTATGGACTGAACACTGGATTTCTTGCGATTTTTCAACGCACTTTCAACATCCCAGACGATAGAGTCACCAGTGTGATTTCCGTGGATTGTTTGTCAAGCAGGCGGAGTCGGCGTAGGGAACATAAGCAAAACCAGGACAGCCAAGCCGAGCTATGGCTAAACTAATGGCTAAGCTATTGGCAAGCCGCTCAAACTTCCGCTGACAAACCTCTCTACATCAAATGCCAGATCCATAACACAAAAAAAAAAAAAAAATGGATGATTTGGAACTACAACTCGCAGGAAATCTCTATGTTCATGGACACGAAACACTATGTCACTGCACTGTGTAGGACTGTCATGGTCGCTCGCAATCAATACTTTCGATCATTTGGTTTTACTTTGGTCTTCACATGAAATTGGCCAGAAGCACTTAATTATTTCGGATCCTGCCTTGAAAAAAAATAAATAAAATATGATAGGAATCCAATCACGCATGCAATCCCGCTGTAATGTTCCTGGCAGATTTTTTTTTAAATATGAACATTCAGATAAATTGTTCAGGAAGAAAATTTCTATAGATTGACATCTCTATGAATGTGATGCAGTCAAAGTTTTTGGTGATTTCGCGCTGGTGCGACCAGTCCGAAAAGTTAGTTGAGAGCCCTGTTCTACCTCCGTGACTGGAAGCTCCATCTGAATCAGATCCTCGGGTTTGGTCACTGGAGGTTGCAGGGCTGTGTCCAACAGCAGGATGCCGTTTAGGTCCTTCCTGCATCCCACTGCATAGTCGTCAAGAAAAAGCACCTTATCCACAGCAGGAACGTACTGACATCTGACACGACCGCCGGGTTTAACTGGAAAAGCAACAGAGGGAAAACAGAACATAATCAGATATGTACAAACTCTGTCAATAAAATTGTTTTCAGTCATTTTAAGTAAATGTCACATGACATGGTCTTGCATCCATGAAGATTTGTTTTGGCTGCTGCCAGTTACCCCCCCCCCCCCAAAAAAAAAAACAATTAAATCTGAACATAAAACCTGTAAATAGGTAAAGCAGCTGTACTGCGAATATGTGGCGGTCCACTGAATGTCTTTGTTTTTGATGCCGGGGGGTGTTCCCAGTTTTGCTTTGTAAAACCCATTCGTCACTTCCTCGTCTACCCGAGGAGGCGTCACTTCCTCGTCTACCCGAGGAGGCGTCACTTCCTCGTCTACCTGAGGAGGCGTCACTTCCTCGTGTAAGGAAGGCGAGAGGAGTCAAGTGGTGCATTCAAGTGTGCTCAGTTTGGTCGAGAACAGATTTTCGGTCATAATTTGAGGCATAAAAAAATTTCGGAATTTTTAGTCGAGAACAGAGACGTTCGAAAACCGAGGTTTGACTGTCCTCTAACCATTTACAGGAGTTGTACACAAGTAACACTGGTCTCATTAGGCGTAGAAAAAAAAGTAGTGTGTTTCCGGTAACCCGACCGATCGACCGAGAATTTCTACGTAGAAAAAAACTTTACGGTCGGCATTTTTTTCAAACAACCCTCTACATTTTTGTGTAGAGGGTTTACATCGGTGCAAACTCTCGTGATATTCACGTTGAGCGCGAGCGTCGTTTGCCCTGTCGTCTGTCAACAACATTGAAACATGGCGGCGGCCGCGATCTCCGACGACAGTTTAAA